AGTGAAACTCGGTCTCAAAAAAAAAAAAAAAAAAAGAAATAAAATATAAAATAAAATTAGCCAGTCATGGCTAATTCCATGGGATGACATTGCATGCCTGTCATCCCAACTACTTGAGATGCCAAGGCAGGAGGATTGCTTGAGTCCAGGAGGTCAAGGCGGCAGTGAGCTACAATCTCACCACTGCAATAGAGCAAGACTGATGATCTACCTGCCTATTTAAATAAATTAAAGCAAAATTTATTTATTTAAATAAATTAAATAATATTAAATAAATAAACAGAAGCCAAGGCAGTCAGGTTATAAGTGGCACTCTGGTATTATGAAACAAAAGGTATGGGTCTATCCATGCTACTCATTTATAATGCCTAGAAATCTTGCCAGAAGTCAACTAGCTAGTTAGTAACAATATCTGCACTAGAACCCAAGTCTCTCAAAACAGTACGTTTCTATACCATAATCTTTCTCTTTTTTTTTTTGAGACGGAGTTTCGCTCGTTACCCAGGTTGGAGTGCAATCGCGCGATCTCGGCTCACCGCAACCTCCGCCTCCTGAGTTCAGGCAATTCTCCTGCCTCAGCCTCCTGAGTAGCTGGGATTACAGGCACGCGCCACCATGCCCAGCTAATATTTGTATTTTTAGTAGAGACAGGGTTTCACCATGTTGAACAGGATGCTCTTGATCTCTTGACCTCATGATCCACCTGCCTCGGCCTCCCAAAGTGCTGGGATTACAGGCTTGAGCCACCACGCCTGGCCTCTCTTTTTTTTTTTTTGAGACGGAGTCTTGCTCTATCACCCAGGCTGGAGTGCAGTGGCCCAATCTCGGCTCACTGCAACCTCTGCCTTCCAGGTTCAAGTGATTCTCCTGCCTCAACCTCCTGAGTAGCTGGGATTACAGGCCAGTGCCACCACACCTGGCTAATTTTTGTATTTTTAGTAGAGACAGGTTTTCAGCATGTTTGTCAGGCTGGTCTCAAACTCCTACCTCATGATCCACCTGCCTCAGCCTCCCAAAGTGCTGGGATTACAGGCGTGAGCCATCCTATACAGGCCTCACAATCTCTTTTATCTAAATCATCCAAGTTATTTAACTGCAAATAGAAGTTGTGGGAGAGGCCAAGGACTGTGGCTTAAGTCTATAATCCCTGCACTTTGAAAAGCAGGAGAATCACTTGAGGCTGGCAGTTCAAGACCAGCCTGGGCAATACAGAGAGATCCCATCTCTTAGGAATTGTAGGAGAACACAGTGCAGACTCAGTATTGGGAAGACAGCATGGTTACTATGCTATTCCAGGTCTGAAAGATGGTCTTCCTGCCAGTGCAGAATAGATTCCATCCAAAGACAGAAAGAGTTGCCTACACGAGACACCAGCAAAACTGAAATTCCCATGAACCACACCATACCTCTAGTATCAGTGTTCTCAATCTCCAGGGAAGACTGAAGAATGAAGGCACCAATAGGTTAACTGTTAAATATTTTCACAGGTCATTTGCAATTAAAGTTCCTAAGATTTACCTTGACAGTTTTTAAAGTTCTATTTTTATTACAATTTTTTTACAAAAAGGGTCTTACTATATTGCCCAGGCTAGAATGTAGTGGCTATTCACAGGCACTATGATAGGGCACTACAGCCTCAAACACCTAGGTTCAACCCATTCTTCCTGCCTCAGCCTTCCAAGGAGCTGAAACTACAGCCACGTACTACCATGCATGGCTTCAAAGGTTTAAAATCTCTAATACTGGTTTTATAATCAACAAAGAACTATGGACTGGGCGCGGTGGCTCAAGCCTGTAATCCCAGCACTTTGGGAGGCCGAGGCGGGTGGATCACGAGGTCGAGAGATCGAGACCATCCTGGTCAACATGGTAAAACCCTGTCTCTACTAAAAATACAAAAAATTAGCTGGGCATGGTGGCGCGTGCCTGTAATCCCAGCTACTCAGGAGGCTGAGGCAGGAGAATTGCCTGAGCCCAGGAGGCGGAGGTTGCGGTGAGCCGAGATCGCGCCATTGCACTCCAGCCTGGGTAACAAGAGCGAAACTCCGTCTCAAAAAAAAAAACAAAAACAAAAACAAAGAACTATGACTTGGTAGTTAACTGAATGTATAAAATTGCCTATAAATCTAGAAGTAGGGAGGTGAAACAGGGAATAAGATGACTCACTAGGGTTTTCTTTGCTAAATTTTAGAGTGCTTACCACTAGGCTTTAAAAAAAAGAAAAATGTGGCTGGGCACAGTGGCTCATGCCTGTAATCCCAGCACTTTGGGAGGCTGAGGCAGGTGGATCACTTGAGGTAGGGAGTTCAAGACCAGCCTGACCAACATGGAAAAACTACTAAAACAAAATTAGCCAGGTGTGGTGGTGCATCCCTGTAATCCCACGTATTCGGGAGGTTACACTTGAACCCAGGAGGCAGAGGTTGCAGTGAGCCAAGATCATGCCACTGCACTCCAGCCTGGGCAACAAGAGTGAAATTCCATCTCAAAAAAAAGGAAAGAAACTTGGGCTGGGCGTGGTGGCTCACTCCTGTCATCCCAGAACTCTGGGAGGCCGAGTTGGGTGGATCACCCGAGGTCAGTTCAAGACCAGCCTGGCCAACATGGTGAAACCCTGTCTGTACTAAAAATGCAGAAAAATTAGCTGTGCATCCTGGCAGGTACCTGTAATCCCAGCTATTCAGGAGGTTGAGGCAGGAGAATCGCTTGAACCCAGAGGTGTGGTGGGAGGTGGAGGTTGCAGTGAGCTGAGATCTCACCCTTCCATTCCAGCCTGGGCAACAAGAGCAAAACTTTGTCTCAAAAAAAAAAAAAAAAAAAAAAAAAAAGACGGCCGGGCGTAGTGGCTCACGCCTGTAATCAAAGCACTTTGGAGGCCAAGGCAGGTGGATCACCTGAGGTCGGGAGTTCAAGACCAGCCTGACCAACATGGTGAAACCCTGCCTTTAAAAAAAAAGAAAAAAGAAAAAAAAAAAAAAAGAAAGAAAGAAAGAAAGAAAAAGAAAAACTTTATGATGACTTTACTTAACAGTGTTCTCTTTAGTAATAGGAGTAAACAAACAACTCTTTACAGAAAGAAATTATGCCAATATTAAATCTGGAACAAGCTGTTAAGTTTTCTTTTGCAACTGTCAAAATTTGTCAACAATTAATGAGGGCCGGGCGCGGTGGCTCAAGCCTGTAATCCCAGCACTTTGGGAGGCTGAGGCGGGTGGATCACGAGGTCAGGAGATCGAGACCATCCTGGTCAAACACGGTGAAACCCCGTCTCTACTAAAAATACAAAAAATTAGCTGGGCATGGTGGCGCGTGCCTGTAATTCCAGCTACTCAGGAGGCTGAGGCAGGAGAATTGCCTGAATCCAGGAGGCGGAGGTTGCGGTGAGCCAAGATCGTGCCATTGCACTCCAGCCTGGGTAACAAGAGCAAAACTCCGTCTCAAAAAAAAAAAAAAAAAAATTAATGAGAAGTATTTCTGTGCAAATGCAAAAGAATCAATTAAATCAACACTTATCTCCCTTTAATGGAGAGATCATCTGAAGAAACGTTAATATAACACAATGAGGGCTTATAACAATTGACTTTTTTTTTTTTTAATTGAGATGGAGACTTACTCTATAGTCCAAGCTGCAGTGCAGTAACTCGGTCTAGGCTCCACTGCCTTACATTTATACCATATCTTCATTGCATTTGCTCTTCACAAGCCAGTAAACATGCTCAAATACTTTCTACTCTACTGCTAACATTTAATTTTAAATAAACATTTAAATTTTAAATGAAGACTTGCAAGTAAACAGATTCATTTGCGTATAAAAAGTTCAGTTAATTTACAACTTAATTTAGAAGCAAAAAGTAGAAGATACTGCTTTTTGTCATGGTTTGTATTTCCATTTTAACTTTTTTTTCTTTCTTTCTTTTTTTGAAAGGGAGTCTCACTTTGTCGCCCAGACTGGAGTGCAGTGGCACGAGCTTGGCTCACTGCAACCTCCACATATACCCCACTCTCCCCTACCCCCCACTCCCCTCTCCACCCACGTTCAAGCGATCCTCCTGCCTCAGCCTCCCAAGTAACTTGGGATTACAGGTGCCCACCAACACGTCTGGCTAATTTTTGTTTCTAGTAGAGACAGGGTTTCGCCAGGTTGGCCAAGCTGGTCTCGAACTCCTGACCTCAGTTAATCCGCCCGCCTCGGCCTCCCAAAGTGCTGGGATTACTGGCTTGAGCCAACACGCTGGCCCATTTTAACTTTTTAAAGTTGCAGTTGCTACAATCAAAATAAAGCACCGAGGGCCATACTGCACTGGTCAGCATTCAAATGCAGTGGCATAATATAATCTCCTCTAAAGGGAAGTAAAGTTGACCGTGTTAGAAAACCATTTACCTAACATGCAATCCACGTTCGAATATCAACTATCGTATTTCAACTATTTTCCAGCACACTCTTAACTTAAAGCACTTTATTAGCAACTATATTTAAAGTCTCATTTTTAATATGACTGCTTAGCAGTGTTTCTAAAACCTTGAAATTTTCATCTTACTATTTCACAATAAAAGACTACAATCGAGCTCCTACTTACGAAAAAAATCCCCGTGCTCTGACTTGCTTCAGTCCCTTTTTTTCTTTTTAGTCCACCAAAACTTTCCCATACGAAGCACTGCAATATCTAAAGTTAGCTGCTTTCCCAAGTCACTAACACGTGGGGGCAAAACACAATCGCAACCGTGCCAGCAGGGCTGCGCTGCCAAGTTACCCCCTCCGCGCCCCCATGAGGCGAGGAGAACCTGAGGTCCCACCTCTTCCTGCCGCTCCCTTCCCAGATGCCCATTTACGTAAACAGGCAGAGTGAATGACACCTTGGAACAAATTACCTCCGACTGACAGGGAGGGGAGGCCTGCCATTCCGCGGGCCCTGAGCCCGCTCCCGCCGCCACGCGCCTCCGAGTCCCGCAGTCGCCCCTGCCCGCACCCTGCCAGTGCCCCCCGCAGAGCAGCCACAGACCTGCCTCCAGGGTTTCCAGCGGGGGCGACGGCGGACCTGTCGTGGCTGCGGACAGGTGCTGGGGAGGCTTTTTGGTCCAGGGGTTTCCCTTAGGCGGCAGCGGCGGCGGCTGCCGCTTTTCCTCAGGGCCAGCTGCCGCCTGCTCCCGGGCGATCTCGGCCGGTGGATCCCGCAGCAACGGCGGCAACGGCGACGGAGGCGGCGGTGGCAGTGGTGGCGGCTCCCCGCCGAAGGGGCCCCCGGGCCCGCGCGCCTTGTGCGCCAGGTGCAGCGCCAGCGGCCTCACGGGGACAGCCGCCTGGGGCACGCTGCGTCCCAGCACCAGCGCGGGCGACGGCTCGCCCCGCGCCCCTGCGCTAGTGGCGGCCGCGGCCCTCTCCTCCCTCGCCGCCTCCTTGCCCTCACGTTCGGACGCGGGCGGCTGATCCGCCGGCCGGTTCGCCGCGGCCAACAGCGGCTCCCTCTCAGCAGTCACCGCCGGCGGATCCTCCCGAGAATGAGCGGCGGGCACCGGGGCGCGAGCAGACATGGTCCCTCTGCCCCAGCCGGGGTGGCCCCGAGGCCAGGGAGCCCGACTGCCCGTCTCTCGGCCTGGGCACCGACCGGCTCCGGCTGGGGACAGAGAACCCGACAGCCCCGCCGCCGTGGCCGCAGCCGCCGCCCGCCGAGGCCGCGCAGCGCCCGGCGTGCCGCCCCTCCCCGCACCGAACGGAGCGCCAACCGCCCGCCGGCCCCGTCCTCTCCGCGGCGCACGCCCGGAGCCCGCCACCGCGCGCCGGGAGCCGCAGCCGGAAGCCGCGAGCCCTCACCTGGCGCGGGCAGCCGCGGAGGCGCAGCACGCCGGGGCCGAGGAGCTCGCCTGGAGTCCGGGAGGCGCGAGCAGCCAGAGCCGGTAACTGCCCGCGGGGGCGTGGAGACGGCGAGGAGGGGCGGCCCGAGAGGACGGGGCGGGGCCTCCCCGCGGAGCGTGACGTGGCTACTCACAGGCTCCTGCCCTCGCCGGGCCTCCCGCGGGAGCTGACGGACTCGCCCGCCCGGGTGCCGCCCGGCCCGAGGGCCTGCCCCGCCCCAGCGGCCCCCGAGGGCGAGAGAGGACTAACCGGACGACTCCCGGCTCGCGGGCTCAGGGGCGGGGCGCACACCGGGCCTCCGTGGCTCCGGGCCGTCTCGCGCCCTGCCCCGGCGGCGACGGCTGCCTGGGGCCTGGGCCGGCAGCGCCCTGGGCGCCAGGAGGACCTGGTGCTCGATTTGTCCTTAGGCCCTTAAAGCCGGGTCGCACCTAGGCTAAGGGAGGGGACGCGGACCCCTGGCCTGGGGCGGCTCCCGAGAGAGCTGGGTTTCCCGGCCGGCTGCCTGGCCCCCTAGCGCCCAGCGCCTCCGCCCGGTGCAAGTTGTCTCGGGGCATCGCGATCACCTGTAATGTTGAGCCACGTCCCAGATGAAAGCGGAGTTACCTCCCCATAACTGTTTAGGAAACCTTTGCCCAGGCATTTGGCTTAGTGCCCTTCCCCGCCCCGATTCCCACCCACCAGCTGAAAGAGTTTTAAAGTGTTCCTGAGTAAAACAAACAGTATTTCGCCGGCTTTTAAAATTTTTTTGTTCCCTGTTTCTTTAATATGGGGAAATAGCACTTAATTACAAATTAACCATATTCCCAATAGGTTTTTTTTTTTCTTCCCGCAATGGATATTAAAATAGCACAAAGACGTTTTGATAATAAATCGGATACGAGCTTTCTATTTAGCACTCACATTCACATAGAGATGATATTCGTTTCATATATGTGTATTTATGAGTCAATGTTTATGTTGTGGTGCAAGGTGCCCGAGAACAGGTTCCCTGCTGATGTTTTTTCTCCGAGCCCCAACCCCATAGCTTTGTTAAATAATACATTATACGTGCTCGCCTTTTGTATAGACTTGCAACCCCCATCCCCACCCCACGCCCAGTAGGTCTCGCCCAGTAGGTTTCCCCTCAGTCACATTCAACTCGACGTTAATATTTTTTTACTTACTCAAAAGCTGTATTCGGCATCAATTATTCTCCTAACGCTAACAACCTATTCATACATAACAGCTATAAACAATAAGGCGTTTCTTGTTTTCCGTGACAGTGATACGCAGTTTACCCGACCCTAAGCAACCTCCGGAACCTTGTCGCAATTAAACAGGGATTTTACTTCCACCTATATTCCCAGCCATCTTTACTAGCTCTGTTATTAGTAATACTCTGTGGGGTTTTTTGTTGGTCGTGGTGGTAGTAGTGGTGGGTGATTGTTGCTGTTGTTTGAGATAGAGTATTACTCTGTTGCCCAGGCTGGAGTGCAAGGGCGCGATCTTGCTCACTGCAACCTGCGCCTCCTGGGTTCAAGCGATTCTCCTGCCTCAGGCTCCTGAGTAGCTGAGATTACAGGCACGTGCCACCACACCCAGCCAATTTTTGTGTTTTTGGTAGAGACAGCGTTTCGCCATGTTGACCAGGCTCCTAGCCTGGAACTCCTAGCTTTAAGTAATCCCTGCCTCAGCCTCCCAAGGTGCTGGGATTACAGGCGTGAGCCACCACGCTCAGTCTCACACCTCTGTAAAGGGTTCTTTTTTTTTTTTTTGAGACGGAGTTTCGCTCTCGTTACCCAGGCTGGAGTGCAATGGCGCGATCTCGGCTCACCGCAACCTCCGCCTCCTGGGCTCAGGCAATTCTCCTGCCTCAGCCTCCTGAGTAGCTGGGATTACAGGCACGCGCCACCACGCCCAGCTAATTTTTTGTATTTTTAGTAGAAACGGGGTTTCACCATGTTGACCAGGATGGTCTCGATCTCTCGACCTCGTGATCCACCCGCCTCGGCCTCCCAAAGTGCTGGGATTACAGGCTTGAGCCACCGCGCCCGGCTGTAAAGGGTTCTTTTAATAATAAACTAAAAATTTCAAAATTTGAGCATTGTGTCTGATTTTAGTCCCATCTGACTGACCCAATTTGCTGTTATTCACCTCTATTTTGTTACTTCTTTCTGCCTCTGCAGCTACATGCCGGACTCTTCGTCTGTTTCTTAGTTCAAAATCAAGGAGAAAAGACTGCTTGACCCTACTTATTTTTTCCAGCCAGATTATACAAGTCATTAGACAATCTGTGGATTATCAGCCCTTGGGTAGGGTGTTTTGAACCAAATAATTTGTCTGGTAGAACAAATTATTTGGTTCAAAACACTGCCATTGGCCGGGTGGGGTGGCTCACGCCTGTAATCTGAGCACTTTGGGAGGCTGAGGCAGACGGATCACAAGGTCAGCAGTTGCAGACCAGCCTGGCCAACACAGTGAAACCCCATCTCTACTAAAAATACAAAAATTAGCCGGGCATGATGGGGCGTGCCTGTAGTCCCAGCTACTCAGTAGGCTGAGGCAGAAGAGTTGTTTAAACCTGGGATGTAAAGGTTGCAGTGCGCCCCTGTACTCTAGCCTGGGCAACAGAGCAAGACTCAGTCTAAAAACAAAACAAACAAACAAAAAACTGCCATCTGGGCTGGTGCGGTGACTCACCTCTGTAATCCCAGCATTTTGTTAAACTGAGACAAGTGTATCAGTTGCAGTCAGGAATTCGAGCCCAGCCCGGCCAAGATGGTGAAACTGTCTCTACTGCCGGGCGTGGTGGCACTTGCCTGTAGTCCCAGCTAAAGGAGGCTGAAGTGGGAGGATCGCTAGAGCCCAGGAGTTCTGGTCTGTAGTGCACTATGCCGATCGGATGTTTCAACTAAGATTAGCATCAATATGGTGACCTCCTGGAAGCAGGGTACCACGAGGTTGCCTAAGGAGGGGTGAACTGGCCCAGGTCAGAAACAGAGCAGGTCACATTTCTGGTGCTAATCACTAGTGGGATCGGGCCTGTGAATAGCCACTGCACTCCAGCCTGGGCAACGTAACAAGACCTCATCTCTAAAAAAAAAAGAAAAGGAAAAGAAAAGAAAAAAGGAAAGAAAGAAAGAAAGAAACTGTCTCTATTGAAAATACAAAACTTAGCTGGGGCATGGTGGTAGATGCCTGTAATCCCAGCTACTCGGGAGGTTGAGGCAGGACAGTCTCTTGAACCCAGTGAGTTGAGACCCTGCCACTGAACTTCAGCCTGGAAGACAGAGCAAGACTCAGTATTAAAAAAAAAAAAAAAGGCCAGGTGTGGTGGCTCATGCCTATAATCCCAGCACTTTGGTAAGCCAAGGCAGGCAGATCACAAGATCAAGAGATCGAGCCCATCCTGGCCAACATGGTGAAACCCTGTCTCTACTAAAAAACACAAAAATTAGCTGGGCGTGGTGGCCTGCACCTGTAGTCCCAGCTGCTTGGGAGGCTGAGGCAGGATAATTGCTTGAACCAGGGAGATGGAGGTTGCAGTGAGCCGAGATTGCACCACTGCATTCCAGCCTGGCACCTGTCGACAGAGAAAGCCTCTGTCTCCAAAAAAAAAAAAAAAAAAAAAAAACAACCTGCCATCAAGGCAATGGGGGTGAAATCAGTTTCCAGTAAGCATGTGTGAGAGGTAGCATCCTTTAGACCTCCTAGTGAGATTTCCCCTGGGTGGTGGCTCACACCTGTAATCCTAGCACTTTGGGAGGCCAAGGCGGGTGGATCACTTGAGGTCAAGAGTTCGAGACCATCATGGCCGACACAGTGAAGCTCCATCTCTACTAAAAATACAAAAATTAGCCAGGCGTGGTGGTGCGCTCCTGTAGTCCTAGCTATTCGGGAGCCTGAAACAGCAGAATCACTTGAACCCAGGAGGCGGAGGTTGCAGTGAACCGAGATCAGGCCATTGCACTCCAGCTTGGGGAAGAAGAGCAAAATTCCATCTTAAGAAAAAAAAAGTAGATTTAACTAGGATAAGTGGCCTTAATTTTACTGAACTACTGAGATGAAAGGCCTGACTTTTTTTTTTTTTTTTTTTTTGAGACAGAGTTTTGCTCTTGTTACCCAGGCTGGAGTGCAATGGCACGATCTCGGCTCACTGCAACCTCCGCCTCCTGGGTTCAGGCAATTCTCCTGCCTCAGCCTCCTGAGTAGCTGGGATTACAGGCACACGCCACCATGCCCAGCTAATTTTTTGTATTTTTAGTAGAGACGGGGTTTCACCATGATGACCAGGATGGTCTCGATCTCTCGACCTCGTGATCCACCCGCCTCGGCCTCCCAAAGTGCTGGGATTACAGGCTTGAGCCACCGCGCCCGGCTGACTTTTTTTTTTTTTTAATAGAAAGCCAGAATCAGCGGGGCGTGGTGGCTCACACCGGTAATCCAAACACTTTGGGAGGCCGAAGCCGACGGATCATGAGGTCAGGAGATTGAGACCATCCTGGCTCAACATGGTGAAACCCTGTCTCTACTAAAAAAAAAATACAAAAATTAGCCGGGCAGGTGGCACTTGCCTGTAATCCCAGCTACTGGGGAGGCTGAGGCAGGAGAATTACTTGAACCCAGGAGGCGGGGGTTGCAGTGAGCCAAGATCGTTCCACTGCACTACAGCCTGGCAAGAGAGCGAGACTCCATCTCAAAAAAAAAAAAAAAAAAAAAAAGGCCGGGCGCGGTGGCTCAAGCCTGTAATCCCAGCACTTTGGGAGGCCGAGGCGGGTGGATCACGAGGTCGAGAGATCGAGACCATCCTGGTCAACATGGTGAAACCCCATCTCTACTAAAAATACTAAAAATTAGCTGGGCATGGTGGCATGTGCCTGTAATCCCAGCTACTCAGGAGGCTGAGGCAGGAGAATTGCCTGGAAAAAAAAAAAAAAGAAAAAAGAAAAGAAAACCAGAATCTAGAGAAAATATGTAGATAGATAGGATTATCTAGCTGATGGGAGAATGGTTTCTAAACCCTCAGAAGTTATAAAACAAAGTAATTCTTATACAAACTTCATGATCACTTTGTACAAATGAACCTTTAAAAGATGATTCCTGGCCGGGCGTGGTGGCTCAAGCCTGTAATCCCAGCACTTTGGGAGGCCGAGGCGGGTGGATCACGAGGTCGAGAGATCGAGACCATCGTGGTCAACATGGTGAAACCCCATCTCTACTAAAAACACAAAAAAGTAGCTGGGCATGGTGGCGCTTGCCTGTAATCCCAGCTACTCAGGAGGCTGAGGCAGGAGAATTGCTTGAACCCAGGAGGCGGAGGTTGCGGTGAGCCGAGATCGCGCCATTGCACTCCAGCCTGGATAACAAGAGTGAAACTCCGTCTCAAAAAAAAAAAAAAAAAAAAAAAAAAAAGATGATTCCTGTTTTTCCTGTTTAGAATATACTAATATGGCCGGGTGCGGTGGCTCAGCCTGTAATCCCAGCACTTTGGGAGGCCAAGGCGGGTGGATCACGAGGTCGAGAGATCGAGACCATCCCGGTCAACATGGTGAAACCCCGTCTCTACTAAAAATACAAAAAAATTAGCTGGGCATGGTGGCGTGTGCCTGTAATCCCAGCTTCTCAGGAG